AAGGACCTGAACAGGCATTGGATTAGCGAAAGACCCGAAAATGCATTGGGTTAGTGAAGGCCCCGAAAATGCATTGGGCTAGCGAAGGATCCGAAAATGCACTGGGCTAACGAAAGACCTGAACGCACATTGACATTGCATTGGTTTAGCGAAAGACACGAAAATGCATTTAGAAGGAAAGACCTGAAAATGCATTGGGCTAAGGAAAGACCTGAAAATGCATTGGGCTAAGAAAGACCTGAAAAATGCATTTGGCTAACGAAAGACCTGAACACGCACTGGACTAGTGAAAGACCGAAAATGCATTTGGCTAGCGAAGGACCTGAAAATGCACTGGGTTAACGAATGACTTGAACACGTATTGACTAGCGAAAGACCGGAAAATGCATTGGGCTAGCGGAAAAAAATGCACTGGGCTAACGAAAGACCTGAACGCACATTGGACTAAAAGACCTGAAAATGCATTGGTTTAGCGTAAGACCCGAAAATGCATTTAGCTAGCGAAAGACCTGAAAATGCATTGGGCTAGCTAAAATGAAAAGAAAGACCTGAAAATGCATTTGGCTAAAGAAAGACCTGAACACGCACTGGACTAGTGAAAGACCCGAAAATGCATTTGGCTAGCGAAGGACCTGAAAATGCACTGGGTTAACGAATGATTTGAACACGTATTGGACTAGCGAAAAGACCGAAAATGCATTGAGCTAGCGAATGACCCGAAAATTCACTGGGCTAACGAAAGACCTGAACGCACATTGGACTAGCGAAAGACCTGAAAATGCATTGGTTTAGCGTAAGACCCGAAAATGCATTTAGCTAGCGAAAGACCTGAAAATGCATTGGGCTAGCGAAAGACCTGAAAATGCATTAAGCTGGAAAGACCTGAAAATGCAACTAGAAAGACCTGAACACGCACTTGACTAGTGAAAGACCCAACTAGCGAAGGACCTGAAAAAATGCACTGAACGAATGACTTGAACACGTATTGACTAGCGAAAGACCGGAAAATGCATTGGGCTAGCGGAGGACCCGAAAATGCACTGGGCTAACGAAAGACCTGAACGCACATTGGACTAGCGAAAGACCTGAAAATGCATTGGTTTAGCGTAAGACCCGAAAATGCATTTAGCTAGCGAAAGACCTGAAAATGCATTGGGCTAGCGAAAAGACCTGAAAATGCATTGGCTAAAATGCATTTGGCTACCTGAAAGACCTGAACACGCACTGGACTAGTGAAAGACCTGAAAATGCATTTGGCTAGCGAAGGACCTGAAAATGCACTGGGTTAACGAATGACTTTGAAAGACCGGAAAATGCATTGAGACTGACCCGAAAATTCACTGCTAACGAAAGACCTGAACGCACATTGGACTAGAAAGACCTGAAAATGCATTGGTTTAGCGTAAGACCCGAAAATGCATTTAGCTAGCGAAAGACCTGAAAATGCATTGGGCTAGCGAAAGACCTGAAAAATGCATTGGGCTAAAAAGACCTGAAATGCATTTGGCTAGCGAAAGACCTGAACACGCACTGGATTAGTGAAAGACCCGAAAATGCATTTGGCTAGCGAAGGACCTGAAAATGCACTGGGTTAACGAATGATGAACACGTATTGGACTAGCGAAAGACCGGAAAATGCATTGAGCTAAAATGACCCGAAAATTCACTAGGCTAACGAAAGACCTGAACGCACATTGGACTAGCGAAAGACCTGAAAATGCATTGGTTTAGCGTAAGACCCGAAAATGCATTTAGCTAGCGAAAGACCTGAAAATGCATTGGGCTAGCGAAAGACCTGAAAATGCATTGGGCTAGCGAAAGACCTGAAAATGCATTTGGCTAGCGAAAGACCTGAACACGCACTGGACTAGTGAAAGACCCGAAAATGCATTTGGCTAGCGAAGGACCTGAAAATGCACTGGGTTAACGAATGACTTGAACACGTATTGGACTAGCGAAAGACCGGAAAATGCATTGGGCTAGCGGAGGACACGAAAATGCACTGGGCTAACGAAAGACCTGAACGCACATTGGACTAGCGAAAAGACCTGAAAATGCATTGGTTTAGCGTAAGACCCGAAAATGCATTTAGCTAGCGAAAGACCTGAAATGCATTGGGCTAGCAAAGACCTGAAAATGCATTTGGCTAGCGAAAGACCTGAACACGCACTGACTAGTGAAAGAACCGAAAATGCATTTGGCTAGCGAAGGACCTGAAAATGCACTGGGTTAACGAATGACTTGAACACGTATTGGACTAGCGAAAGACCGGAAAATGCATTGAGCTTGACCCGAAAATTCACTGGGCTAACGCAAGACCTGAACGCAAATTGGACTAGCGAAAGACCTGAAAATGCATTGGTTTAGCGAAAGAGCCGAAAATGCATTGGGCTAGCGAAAGACCTGAAAATGCATTGGGCTAGCGAAAGACCTGAAAATGCATTGGGCTAGCGAAAGACCTGAACACGCACTGGACTAGTGAAAGACCCGAAAATGCATTTGGCTAGCGAAGGACCTGAAAATGCACTGGGTTAACGAATGACTTGAACACGTATTGGACTAGCGAAAGACCGGAAAATGCATTGAGCTAGAATGACCCGAAAATTCACTGGGCTAACGAAAGACCTGAACGCACATTGACTAGAAAAGACCTGAAAATGCATTGGTTTAGCGTAAGACACGAAAATGCATTTAGCTAGCTGAAAATGCATTGGGCTAGCGAAAGACCTGAAAATGCATTTGGCTAGCGAAAGACCTGAACACGCACTGGACTAGTGAAAGACCCGAAAATGAAAAGGACCTGAAAATGCACTGGGTTAACGAATGACTTGAACACGTATTGACTAGAAAAAGACCGGAAAATGCATTGAAAATGACCCGAAAATTCACTGGGCTAACGAAAGACCTGAACGCACATTGACTAGGAAAGACCTGAAAATGCATTGGTTTAGCGTAAGACCCGAAAATGCATTTAGCTGCGAAAGACCTGAAAATGCATTGGGCTAGGAAAGACCTGAAAATGCATTGGGCTAAGAAAGACCTGAAAATGCATTTGGCTAGCGAAAGACCTGAACACGCACTGGATTAGTGAAAGACCCGAAAATGCATTTGGCTTGCGAAGGACCTGAAAATGCACTGGGTTAACGAATGACTTGAACACGTATTGGACTAGCGAAAGACCGGAAAATGCATTGAGCTAGCGAATGACCCGAAAAATTCACTGGGCTAACGAAAGACCTGAACGCACATTGGACTAGCGAAAGACCTGAAAATGCATTGGTTTAGCGTAAGACCCGAAAATGCATTTAGCCGAAAAGACCTGAAAATGCATTGGGCTAGCGAAAGACCTGAAAATGCATTGGGCTAAAGGAAAGACCTGAAAATGCATTTGGCTAAAAGACCTGAACACGCACTGGACTAGTGAAAGACCCGAAAATGCATTTGGCTAGCGAAGGACCTGAAAAATGCACTGGGTTAACGAATGACTTGAACACGTATTGACTAGCGAAAGACCGGAAAATGCATTGGGCTAGCGGAAACGAAAAATTCACTGAACGAAAGACCTGAACGCACATTGACTTGGAAAGACCTGAAAATGCATTGGTTTAAAAGACCCGAAAATGCATTTAGCTAGCGAAAGACCTGAAAATGCATTGGGCTAGCGAAAGACCTGAAAATGCATTTCGCTAGGAAAGATCTGAACACGCACTGGACTAGTGAAAGACCCGAAAATGCATTTGGCTAGCGAAGGACCTGAAAAATGCACTGGGTTAAAATGCAACACGTATTGACTAGCGAAAGACCGGAAAATGCATTGAGCTAGCGAATGACCCGAAAATTCACTGGGCTAACGCAAGACCTGAACGCAAATTGGACTAGACGAAAGACCTGAAAATGCATTGGTTTAGCGAAAGAGCCGAAAATGCATTGGGCTGGGAAAGACCTGAAAATGCATTGGGCTAAAGGAAAGACCTGAAAATGCATTGGGCTAGCGAAAACCTGCACGCACTGGACTAGTGAAAGACCCGAAAATGCATTTGGCTAGCGAAGGACCTGAAAATGCACTGGGTTAACGAATGACTTGAACACGTATTGACTAGCGAAAGACCGAAAAATGCATTGAGCTAGCGAATGACCTGAAAATTCACTGGGCTAACGAAAGACCTGAACGCAATTGACTAGGAAAAGACCTGAAAATGCATTGGTTTAAAGACCCGAAAATGCATTTAGCTAAAGGAAAAGACCTGAAAATGCATTGGGCTAACGAAAGACCTGAAAATGCATTGGGCTAAAGAAAGACCTGAAAATGCATTTACAGCTAAAATGAACACGCACTGGGTTAACGAATGACTTGAACACGTATTGGACTAGCGAAAGACCGGAAAATGCATTGGGCTAGCGGAGGACCCGAAAATGCACTGGGCTAACGAAAGACCTGAACGCACATTGGACTAGCGAAAGACCTGAAAATGCATTGGTTTAGCGTAAGACCCGAAAATGCATTTAGCTAGCGAAAGACCTGAAAATGCATTGGGCTAGCGAAAGACCTGAAAATGCATTGGGCTAGCGAAAGACCTGAAAATGCATTTGGCTAGCGAAAGACCTGAACACGCACTGGACTAGTGAAAGACCCGAAAATGCATTTGGCTAGCGAAGGACCTGAAAATGCACTGGGTTAACGAATGACTTGAACACGTATTGGACTAGCGAAAGACCGGAAAATGCATTGAGCTAGCGAATGACCCGAAAATTCACTGGTCTAACGAAAGTCCTGAACGACCTAGAAAGACCTGAAAATGCATTGATTTACGTAAGACCCGAAAATGACCCTGAAAATGCATTGGTTTTGGGCTAGCGAAAGACCTGAAAATGCATTTAGCTAGCGAAAGACCTGAACACGCACTGACTAAAAGACCCGAAATGCATTTGGCTAGCGAAGGACCTGAAAATGCACTGGGTTAACGAATGACTTGAACACGTATTGGACTAGCGAAAGACCGGAAAATGCATTGAGCTAGCGAATGACCCGAAAATTCACTGGGCTAACGAAAGACCTGAACGCACATTGGACTAGCGAAAGACCTGAAAATGCATTGGTTTAGCGTAAGACCCGAAAATGCATTTAGCTAGCGAAAGACCTGAAAATGCATTGGGCTGTGAAAATGCATTGACCTGAAAATGCATTTGGCTAACCTAACACGCACTGGGTTAAAACTTGAACACGTATTGGACTAGCGAAAGACCGGAAAATGCATTGGGCTGGAGGACCCGAAAATGCACTGGGCTAACGAAAGACCTGAACGCACATTGGACTAGCGGAAAGACCTGAAAATGCATTGGTTTAGCGTAAGACCCGAAAATGCATTTAGCTAGCGGAAAGACCTGAAAATGCATTGGGCTAGAAAAAGACCTGAAAATGCATTGGGCTGGAAAGACCTGAAAATGCATTTGAAAGACCTGAACACGCACCTAGTGAAAACCCGAAAATGCATTTGGCCAGCGAAGGACCTGAAAATGCACTGGGTTAACGAATGACTTGAACACGTATTGGACTAGCGAAATACCGGAAAATGCATTGGGCTATGGGAGGACCCGAAAATGCACTGGGCTAACGAAAGACCTGAACGCACATTGACTAGCGAAAGACCCTGAAAATGCATTGGTTTAAGGTAAGACCCGAAAATGCATTTAGCTAGCGAAAGACCTGAAAATGCATTGGGCTAGCGAAAGACCTGAAAATGCATTGGGCTAGCGAAAGACCTGAAAATGCATTTGGCTAGCGAAAGACCTGAACACGCACTGGACTAGTGAAAGACCCGAAAATGCATTTGGCTAGCGAAGCACATTGGACTAGCGAAAGATCTAAGCACGCATTGGACTAGCGAAAGTCCCGAACATGCGTTAGACGAGCTGAGAAACGGAGAATTTCTTTAGAAACAAACAGTGCTGGTCTGGTATGCGATATCTCTCCTGTGCTATGGCAGTTAATGTTGTGGGGGGGGCATATTTTTCTCTGATAAAATTTCTCGAATATTCAGCTCGTTAGACGAAAATAAATACAGTTTTTAATAAATAAATGAGCATCTACTCAGATACGAGTATCCACTGAAAAATGAAGATTGTGTGCGAAAAATCAGTCATATATATATATATATATATATATATATATATATATATATAATGAAAGAAAGGATTAGATAGATCGATCGAACGATAGATGGATAGATAGGAATGAAGAAATAATACATATTATAGATAGATCGGTATGAAGGGAAAAAATCATGTATATGATAGATGTAAGGATTGATATATATTTATAGATAGATAGAAAGATAGGTAATCAGCTGCATTAGAGTGATCGATAGTCACAAATGAATGAAGGAAAACGTTATATGTATATGATAGATATATAGTTCAACAGATAGATAGGAATAGATGGAGAGACATTAACAATAGATATAAACAGATACACAGCTTGATAGATTAGATAGATAGATCGATAGATAAGAATGAACGAAAAAGACGTATATGATAGATAGATAGATAGATAGATAGATAGATAGATAGATAGATAGATAGATAGATATGAACAAACTGACGGGTAGATGGTTATTAATATACTGATAGATAGATAGATAGATAGATAGATAGATAGATAGATAGATAGATATGAACAGACTGACGGGTAGATGGTTATGAATATACTGATAGATAGATAGATAGATAGATAGATAGATAGATAGATAGATAGATAGATATGAACAGACTGATGGGTAGATGGTTATGAATATACAGATAGATAGATAGATAGATAGATATGAACAGACTGACTGGTAGATGGTTATGAATATAATGATAGATAGATAGATAGATAGATAGATAGATAGATAGATAGATAGATAGATAGATAGATATGAACAGACTGACGGGTAGATGGTTATGAATATACTGATAGATAGATAGATAGATAGATAGATAGATAGATAGATAGATAGATATGAACAGATTGACAGGTAGATGGTGATAGATAGATAGATAGATAGATAGATAGATAGATAGATAGATATGAATGAAGGAAAAGGCAGAGTTAATCTCAGATATATAGATAGATATGAAGAATAGGTAGCTAGCTAGATAGGTATGAACCAAGACATAGATGTATAGACAGATATGTGCAAATAGATTGATAGATATGAAAAAATAGATAGATTGGTAGATAGATAGCTATGAACAGTCTTTAAATAGATACATAGACAGTTATATAGATAGATATGAACAAATAGATTGATAGATATGAAGAGACTATAGATAGATTGACAGACAGATAGATATATAGATAGATATCAAGAAATACATAGAGAGAGAGAGATATGAAGAAATATATAGCTATATAGACAGATATAAACAAATTGATTAATAAATAGATAAATAGATAAATACATATGCGCAATAGATTGATATGACGAAACAGATGCATAGATATGAACAGACTATAGATAGATTGATAGATAGATAGATATACATAAAGAAATAGATAGATAGATAGATATGAAAAATAGATATGAAGAGATAGATAGATTGATAGATCGGTATGAAGGATAGATAGATAGATAGATAGATGTTAACATAGAAAATCATTGACGCTGAGATTTAAAAAAAGATTCGAAAAGACAGGCAAAAATATATGTACTAAGATATGTATTAACAAACTGATATTAGACAGGCTCATAGATAGATAGATAGATAGATAGATAGATAGATAGATATGAAAAGATTCAGATAGATAGGTAGATAGATATGAAAAGATTCAGATAGATAGATAGATAGATAGATAGATAGATAGATATGATGAAAGGGATTGATAGATAGATAATCATGTATGGCACTTAACTGACTGACAGAAGTAATTTAATTGTATGCGTATTTTCTTGTTTACTTTCCTTTCAAATCTCTTTCTTTGTCATTGTGTCGTCGAAATTCCACAGACACTGTCAGCATAAATAACCTCAGCGATTCTTCTTTCATTTTAGTTCATTCGTTCCTTGTTCTCGATTTGAGTCAAAAGCTCCGAATGTTACAGCATATATTTCTCTTTATAAAATCTAAGCGCTATTTCTTTCGAATTTAATTTAAGAAAGTTTATCGATGCATTAGGTTAAGTCATGAACAATTTCTGTTTTTCTGTATCAAGTGTATTCTTCAAAAAATAAAATACGATTACATTTTACTCAACTAAATATTCACCATGATTTCTAATGTCTTTCCTGGTTATTACGATAAACTATACGATTATCAACCCAGGTTATTTAAACCTAGAAAATATTTTTAGATTGAATTTTTTTGAGACATAGAAATGTTATTCTATAGAAGGATACTGATAATACCATGGACCGAACATGTGAGCCATGATTTCCAAAGCCTTCCTAGTCCTGGGTATAACGATAAACTATATCTGGCAGCAAGGCCTCTGTTCTAGACATTGGAACATTATTGAATATTGTTTTCAATGACTGATTGATTGATTCGTATTTTGACGGATTATCAACCCATGGCAGGTTATTTAAAGCTAGAAAATATTTTTAGATTGAAATATATTTTTTTGAGACCGAAGATTTTAGATTGAAATATATTTTTTTCAGACATAGAAATGTTGTTCTATAGATCGCTGCTGATAATACCATGGACCAAACATGCGAGCCTCTTCGCAGATGAAGAGACTTGAAACAACAGTAATGTGGTTCTACAGAAGGATACTGAGAAAATTTTAGATAAAATGAAAACATAAGTGACACTTACACTTAACATCAGAAAGAGACAGCTAAAATTTCTAGAATATATAATGAAGACAGAGGGCTTAGAAAATTTGATACACACAAGGAAGATTGAAAGCGAGAGAAATGAAGGAAATCAAGGAATGGCCTACCAAGCGAGCTTGAGTAAATGGATGATAGAACGGTGTTTTGGAGAGTTAGCAAAAAGATTACATTTATTAAGAATTGCAAATGACAGAAAATGGTGGCGAGCCATGATCGCCATGTCCTGAAGGGACAGGGCTGATGGAAGGAATAAGAATGTGACAAACATTTTACTAATTAACCCAGAAGATGTGGATTCATAGCTTTCCCAAGAGTGTTTCTACGTAAGTGTTGTGGTTGGATCCACCTAATTTGCATAGTGGAGTACCGACCATATAAATATGGTTGGAACCGGGAAGAGAGTGAGGAATCAAGAGATTCAACCAGAGACTCTGCCCGACTGCGACTCAGTCAACACATTCTCCAGGAACGGTCTTACCAGGAATATACAAAAGACTATATGTAAATATTGTGTACACTTTCTTGTTTCAATACATTTTGTTCTAAGTACCTTTTGTGTTGCCTTATTATTCAATGCATTACTCAAGTTTCAACAATGGCGACGAGGATGAGATCCCATTGAGGTAATGTATGATATGTTTCAAGTAGAACCACCGCAGAATACTCCTGAACCGAGAAGATCCGGTAGGAAACGAAAGTTCACGGACCCATTGGACGTGAATCCAAAACGGAAAAAATATGAAAATTAAGCGGATGAACATATGCATATGAAGTATGCAAATGGATCTACAAAGAAATAGCCATAATCATCAACCCATATAAGAAGCCAGTTTGAAATCCAAAAGGGATTCCAAGGCTTGGGAGGGGGGTGTTGTGGTAGGATCCACCTAATTTGCATAGTGGAGTACCGACCATATAAATATGGTTGGTACCGGGAAGAGAGGGACGAATCAAGAGATTCAACCAGAGACTCTGCCCGACTGCGACTCATTCAACACATTCTCCAGGAACGGTCTTCCCAAGAATATACAAAAGACTATACGTAAATATTGTGTACACTTTCTTGTTTCAATACATTTTGTTCTAAGTACGTTTTGTGTTGTATTATTATTCCATGCATTAGTCATGTTTCAACAGTAAGTGAATATAACGAACCCAACAGGAATTGGAACTCCGCTCACCGTTCAATTACATCACCAACAGAGATACGCTTATAGCATCAGGCTTAACTTTGGTGATGAAACGGGAACCAATGTTTTAACGCGATGCGGCCGTAAGCCGTTGTTTTCATTAGAGAAATTTCCCCCCCCTGAAAGTGTCTTGAAGCGATTGTAAAAGGTAATAATCTGTTGGTGCCAGCATCTTTATCCGCGCTTATTGGGTTATTTATTAAATAAAAAAAATTATGAGTTCTTATTGGACGATGGGGTAGAACACGGTTAAGCGAAACGATGCGAAACTGCGGTTAAAAGGTAACATTGTATTTGTGACAAATAATATCGATATCTGGAGGCTTTGTAATATGATGCGTTATTGTTGTATAAGAAGGGAAAGGAGAAATCATTTGCGGCTTTGTAAAACTATTTACAGAACAGGGAAACGTATCCAGCCATGAAGACGGTGTTAGTGGCAGAGGCGATCAAAAACAGAAAAGTCGGAAATATGAGACCAGAGAAGACCATATTTATACGAATTATCTATGACCTATTTCTAAACAGGGGACATTAATTTTTTTTCAAGTCGTCTTTCACGATACAAAAATACAAAAATCCCTTCTCTCTCTCACACACTGATATATATATATATATATATATATATATATATATATATATATATATAGAGAGAGAGAGAGAGAGAGAGAGAGAGAGAATATTAGTGGTAAATATACACATACATATGTAAAATATATAAATATATATGCATAGGTGCATACACATACATGTATATTTTTTGAATAAAAAATTCCAAGAGGATAGAATCCAGGTAGAACTCAATGTCCAGGACAGAGTAAGGATATAATAAAAAGGCTTAAACACTAATATTCCATGGTCATAATTTATCCCATTGGAATCGTAAATACGATCCAATTCATCAGACCTACAAATTCAAAAAGAAAACAGAAAAGAACAACTCCGAAAATAAAAATAGAGTTTAGAGAGAGTGTAAGTATGAGAGTGTGGGACGAATGTTAGAGCTAAAGAGAGGGGTAACCGACGAGAGAAGGTGGGAGATTAAAACTTAACAGAGAGGTTTTTTTTTTCAAATAGAGGTGAGTGGAAGGGGGAAATATGAATGTTGTCGGATGTCTAATACATTAAAGATACATTTCGTGGTGACATACACACACACCATAGACGATCTAATGTTAAAGCTCAGAATAAGAGGGAGGTAGAGAAAAGGAAAAAGAAGATGTGGGGGGAGAAAGAAAATGGGCCATGGAAAATTAAAATTGACCATGGAATATTATATATTTAATATATATTTATTATATATATATATATAAAGAAGAACAAGATATACAATCCGGTGTTCTTATTGATATTATTTATTTTTATTTTATAAAACAGTGCTCAATGTAAATTTAAAGAGCATAAATATTATAAATTAACTTACATGGGGGTACAATGACGGCAAAGAATAGCTATTTCCTTTCTCTAATTCAGTAATTTTTTATTTTTTATAAACTTAGTAATATATAGTTTCTCATGTATTTAAAAAAATTTTTCGCTACACAGTCATAACCATGTTTCAAAATTTGAAGCTAAAAACTTCAAATTTAATTATATAATTAAATTAAAAGCATTAGTTCCGTTTCATTTTCAAGTGAATTTTGGAAGAACTTATTTTTAAATTTACTTAGTTTTAAACGCACATATAAATTCATAATTTCCTGTTTCCAAGGATACAAAGAAATCCAATCATTCGGACAGGGGCGGTAGCGTGTTCATTTTTATTAACTATTGTTGTATCTAGTATGAGTTACGTTCGAAAAAGAGGTTATGTTTAGAGAGGGTAGGGTTATATTTTTCAACGAATTCTGACATCCATTAAATGCATGTCGTCTTTTTTTTTTTCTTTTTTTTTTTGTAATGGCAAAACGTTTTTTGGAATTTTTTTCTGTATTTATATAATTAAAGATTCTATCTAGGGGTGTTTGAGTTAGAATACATTTTATTTAACTACAATTTTAAAATATTTTTAATCTTAATTACTAATAGACTATATTTCTTTTTAAAACAAGTAAATGTAATAGAATTACTTCAATTATTTTTTCATATCAAATGTAAGTATGTATATTACCAGCTCCCATTTTTTAAATTTTATTTTTAAATATTATTTAAGGAACATTTTTGACAATGACGGCAAAGAATAGCTATTTCATTTCTCTAATTCAGTAATTTTTTTTTTGTTATAAACTTAGTAATATATAGTTTCTCATGTATGCACAAAGGACATGAGTCATTTAATGACCTAGATATTCTAGCTTTTCTTATTAATTTCCATTTTACTGTAGGTGTTTTATTGGATTCTTTTAAGTGCCAGAAATATTTTGAAAAGGATGTCTGATTTCTGTATTTATTTATCCTAAATGAAGTTTGATGTTGATTGAACCTGTTTTTGAACTGATGGCTTGTGCAACCTATATAGATTTTTATGTTTTCGGGATTCTCAATAGATGAGATATTGCATTGATATACTAATAATTCCGTGCGACATTTATTTTGAAGAGGACAGTTATGAGGATTTCTACAGTTACATAATTTTTGTTTATCTTCATCTCTTTTTATTTTTACATTGTCTAAATTTCTTTGGTTTTGGTCTAAGTGTTTATTGAAGACTAGCAGCATGGTCCGGCGTTGCCCGTGCTTGATTCAAAAATCATACGACTCATACAGCAATCGCTATCACTTGACTTAAAATATTTTTGCCCTTCCTTGCCTTTAAAGGAGTGCCCTTTGCCGTGCTGATGTTGCTACATGCCTTACTTCTTGCCTATCTCACACTGCGAATTTTTTCTAAGCTCTATACTAAACATTAAATCTGTTACAAAAAAAGAACTAAACAAAATGAACACAAAACGATCAGCTTTAAAAAAGGACTCGTAACTGGAAAAACCGAATGAAAAAAGAATGTTAACAACAAATACTTTTCATACCCAACCCAGTTCTGCGGAATCAGAATCAACGTTGAGTTTAAGCAAGCGAATGAGCCAATTGGAGTAAAGTGCCATGCAGATTTAAATTTTTCCCACTTGTGACGAATGCAATTATCGATTTTTTTGCATGCTAGTTAACATTCGTGTCAGTCAGCTGTTGTGTAGAAAATGGCCGCAAACTACATGAAAACTGCCGTAGAAGCATGAAAAAATCGATTATTTCCACTATCGATGGGAGTTGAGAAAAGCAAGGTCGGTCTTGGCCTTTCCGCTAACTTGGAGCATGTGCATGTAAATTTTGGTGCAAATCCATCGAAAATTGTTGCCGTGCATTCGTTACACACACACACACATGTGTGTGTGCTTGTGTGTGTGTGTGTGTGTGTGTGTCTGTGTCTGTGTATTACACAACAAACTCCCAAATTACCTTATATGGGGATATACATCTATTTTCATTACATTGGAATCGTAATCACGATCCAATTCATCAAAGCCACAAATTCAAAAAGAAATTGGAAAATATAACTCCGGGTATAAAGAACAAAATTTTAGTGAGAGTGTATATGTGGGAGTGGGAAACAAGTGTCAGAGGGAAATGTATGAAAGCTGTAGAGAGAAGTGTAATAGAAGAATGAAGAAAAAGAAGGCCTAAAGGTGAAGGAGGGGGATTAAAATTTAACAGAGAGAAGTTTTAAAGAGTGGAGTTAAATAAAGGTTTAAAAGAGTGAGATACAGATAAATATGAATTATTTTTCGATGCATAATTCGTTACCGAATCGCTGACCTAAATTAAAATTAAAAAACAGACAACGGAAACGTGTGTATACATTTGTGGTGACACTACGCACAATAAAAAACGATATGATCTAGACTTAAAATCCAGCCAATTCATATATGAGTTATATTTTCCAATTTCTTTTGGAATTTGTAGGTCTGTTGAATTGGATCATGATTGCGATTCCAATGTAATAAATTATAACCATGGAATATTAGTGTATATAACGGGTGTAACAGCAAAATTGTACAAATCGTGTAACAGCAAATTTGTCCAATTGTTAGATTAAGATTTGAACCGTTGCATTTTAGAAATGCTTAAACATATATTACTGGAATTCTCCGAGGTTTTTATAACACTATTGGACTCTATTTTGAGCAATAAAATGTATATTTACTCTCCAAGCTCAATCGTGCTGAAATTGATCAAAAACGAAAATTACATGTTCTTCATTAATTAATAATAGCTAAAGATCTGAAGGTCATGAAATATTGGAAGAAAGTTCATATATAAATATTCCAGGATCATTTTCGAACTTATTTAAGATGATCTTCGCCCTCTCTAACCTTCTAACTTTCTGTCCTGGAATAGCAAGTTGCCTCACACGTTTCACGGACGATTTCATTTTCAATTTTTTTTTCACTGCTCCTTGCGAACCGTTACAGTTGAAACTCCTCTCTCACATGCCAAACGTCTTATCAATTGAGTTGGATCTTTTCTAATCGATCTCTTTAGCTCTAAGTAGAAATGATGATCCCTCTTTCTGCTTCTAGTTTTCCTCTCTGCTACTCGCTCTTTTTTCACCGTTCTCTTGGATGGACTTTGAAGATGTAAACCAGAGTATGAATGTTGATACCATCTACTATTACTGAAAGCATGATTTTTCTCCTCTCAACGCTACTCATTTGAGAAGACAGTGGCTCTGACACAAGGTGATTTTAAGCTGTTCTCTTTCTAACTGAATAACTCAAAGGGTTTTTCCGTGATTCTTACAGCAAATGGTGTCAAGATGAATCTTATCTCAAAGCCTGGAAAACAGAAATTCAATTAGGTTCGTTGTCTTTTTTTTTTTTTTTTTTTAGATATTAAACATTTTTAGGATGGACAATTATGCTGTTACACGATTTGTTACACCTGGTATATATAATAACTGGCCACTCGTGTTACATTGATACCCGTCTACTTGGGCTAGTCAATCCCTATTTTAGACACTTGCTCTGGCACATTTGTCTGAGCAGACCTTAGTTACAGTTTCTGGGAGAAAGTGTGTTATATAGCGTAGTCAACAATTTGAACAAGGCCACCACTTGTGGCTCCGTGCTGGCACAGCTACCGATGGCTTCCAAGAGTTCCATCTACCCAACGGAGGAGAGATATATTCTATGAAATTTGCCGAACATCCAGGCCGGTAAATGTAGTTAATACTGTTTATTATAAACAGAGCATTTACTTAAATATTTGTATCTAAAAAAATAACGTATAAACAGAAAATATATTAAAATAGTTGTCTGACTTAGTCCATTTCTTTATATATATATATATATGTATATATATATATGTGTGTGTGTGTGTGTGTGTGTGTGTGTGTGTGTGTGTGTGTGTGTGTGTAAAAATATATAGAAAATAGGGAAATTAACTTTTTGGATAAAAACTCCAAATCTTTTTTGTTTTTTTTATTATTTTTTTAAAAATAGTGCTCGATACAAAAGTAGAGCATAAATATAATTATTTATTTAAAAATATGATTCCAACGCTACATAAGAGTTCTCATGTTTCAAAACAAGAGCCGAAAACTTCAATATAATTATTTGAATTAAATTGATTAAAGTATTAAGCTCTGTTCCATCTTCAAGCGAAATTTTTACTGGAATAACTTTTTTCTGAAATTTACGCGTTTTATAAGCATATTCATTATTGAAATTAAGATTACTATGGTAACGGCTAGAGCAATTGTTAAAGAAAAGGGGTATAGGGGTTAATAATTTGTATCAATATCTCAGTTACATTCTCAGATGTCAAGTCAGGGTAAGGTTGGGGTGTCTAAATTTAAAGCGGAAGATGACATCGTCTAGTCTGGTTAAATGTCTATAGATTTACTTATTTATTTTATTTTTTATTTTTCTGAAAGGGTTTCGTGTATATAAAAAGCTGTGTTATATATATATATATATATATATATATATATAAACTGATCCACAAAAGAGATCCAAGTACTTACTATAACAGAGCATATAGGTATAGCTATTTCAATCAACTGTTCCTATGTTGGTTTTATCAACTCAGAAGTTTGAATAAAATCAGAAACATAAAATTTAAACATTTAAAAAAAGAAGAAAAGGCAAAGGAAAAAAGAAAAAGAAAAAAGAAAGAGAGAAAGAAGAAAAGAAAGGAAGCATGAGACAGCCGATGAAAATATGGATATTAATTTAACCCAATCCCCAGTATAAGGGTAGGGAGAGGAGGAAATGTCTGATATATATATATATATATATATGTATATATATATATAGAGAGAGAGAGAGAGAGCGACATATAGTGAGAGTGAGAGAGATAATATTAGTTGTCAATATATATATATATATATATATATATATATATATATATATATATATATTTCCAAGAGTATAAAATACAGGTAGAGCTCAATGTACAAGACAGAGCAAGAATATTATAGAAAAGGTTCAAACACTAATATTCCATGGTTATAAATTATTACCCTGGAATCGTAACCACGAATGGAATATTAGAGCCTTATATATATAAAGATATATATATATATATATATATATATATATATATATAGATATATATAGATAGATAGATAGATAGATAGATAGATAGATAGATAATGCTAGACGCAATCGTCAGGCCACCTAACGATTGCGTCTAGCATGAAACAGACTGTCGCCTCTAAGTGTTGACTTCTATGTTCACTTTTATATTTACACACGCTCTATCTCTGATATTGAGCACTTTATCTCATAAATATAGCACATCTTAAAACTATATTTCTTCATATATATATATATACATGTATGTATATATATATGTATATATATATATATGTGTGTGTGTGTGTGTGTGTTATATTCGTTTTTAAAATAAATAAACGCCTTAATAAAATATGCGTTTTTGTAAAAACGCTCAAATTGAAAAGTGAAGTGAAAACGAGGCCGCAAATAAAGGCTGAATTGTCATTGTACGTTTGTCAACAAAATGGAAAAATTAAGGAAGACATTAAAATGGTGTGATTTTTTGCTCGTTAACACAAGTGGAACGAGAGTAAGAAAATGAAAGAATCAAAAATAGCACTAAAGTTCGAAAAGAGAAGGAATAATCGTGTAAAAGGTGTTTGGATTGGATTGTACTTAATTAAAAAGTGGCGGAAACAGAAGGCTAAGAAAATAGATAAATTTTGAGGAGTTGATGGAAAGAGGAGGGTAGGAGGAAGAGGAGTGATCAGTGGAGGGTAGAGGAGACATAATGTGATCGAGAGGTGAGGTTGAGTGATTGGGGGTTGGGGGTAGGATGAAGGGGGAAAGGAGAGAGTTACAAGAGAAGGAACGAGTGGGGGGGAGTAATTATCTGTAGGGTTTCGAATAAAAGTGGGGAGGATAAAATGAGAAATAATTAGAGTAAGAGAGAGAGGAAGAAAGAAATGTAGGGAATAAAGGGTCGGTCGAGTTCAATGGAAAAAGAAAGACAGAAAAAATGAGAGGAAGAGAAGAGAGAATGAAATGCGCCTAAAAGTGTGTGTGGGGTGAAGGCAGACGGATGAGTATTGGACTTAAAAAAATGAAATAGTGGACCGGTAAAGAAGAAAAAGAAGAAGAAGAAGAAGAAGAAGAAGAAGAAGAAGCAGTAGTCGAAGTGTAAAGAAAGAAAGAAAGAAAGAAAGAAGAAGTGGAGGGTTAATGAAAGAAGAAGAAGAAGCAGTAGTCGAGGTGTAAAGAAAGAAAGAAAGAAAGAAGAGGTAAAGAAAGAAGTGGGCTAAGAAGAAGAAGAAGAAGAAGCAGTAGTTGTGGTGTAAAGAAAGAAAGAAAGAAAGAAAGAAAGAAAGAAAGAAAGAAAGAAAGAAAGAAGTGGGCAAAGAAGAAGAAGAAGAGGTAGCAACCGTAGTTGGGATGTAAGGAAAGAAAGGAAGAAAGAAAGAAAGAAAGAAAAAAAGAAAGAAGTGGGCAAAGAAGAAGAAGAAGAGGTAGCAACCGTAGTGGGGATGTAAGGAAAGAAAGAAAGAAAGAAAGAAAGAAAGAAAGAAAGAAAGAAAGAAAGAAAGAAAGAAAGAAGTGGGCAAAGAAGAAGAAGAAGAGGTAGCAACCGTAGTGGGGATGTAAGGAAAGAAAGGAAGAAAGAAAGTAGAAGAAGAAGAACAAGAACAAGAAGAACAAGAAGGAGCAGCAGCAGTGGAGGGGTAAAGAAAGTAGTGGACAAAGAAGAAGAAGAAGAAGAAAAGAAGAAGAAGCAATAGCAGAAGCAGTGGCGGGGGCAAAGAAAGAAAGAGAGAAAGAAGAAGAAGCAGCAGCAGTGGAAGTATAAAGAAAGAAAGAAAGAAAGAAAGAAAGAAAGAAGAAGAAGAAGCTGCAGCAGCAGCAGTCGAGGGGTAAAGAAAGAAAGAAAGAAAGAAAGAAAGAAGAAGAAGAAGAAGAAGCAGTGGAGGGGTAAAGAAAGTAGTGGACAAAGACGAAGAAGAAGTGGTAGGGTAAAGAAAGAAGTGAACAAGGAAGATGAAAAAGCAGCAGAGAGGTAAAGAAAGAAGTAGAAGAGGAAGATGAAGGAGAAGCAGCGGGGAATTAAAGAAAATATTAGGAGATAAAGAAGAAGTAGCACATGGCTAAATAAAGACGAGGAAGAAGAAGAAGAAGAAGAATTAGTAGACGAGTAAAGAAAGATTTGGGCGAGAAAGAACAACTAAAAAACACTCGTATGAAAACAAAAGAAGAAAAACTAAGGTGAATTTAAAGCGAAATTAATGAAGAAAAATGAAAATAATAAAAAAAAGGAAGAAAAAATAAAAAAATAAAGAAAGCGAAATATAAAAAACAAGAGAAAAATAAATGAAATCAATAAAGAAAGAAAAATGGAAATATTAGGAAGAAAACGAAGTTAAGAATAAAAAATATAAGAAAGAAAATCAAAGAGAAAGAAACGTATATGGAAGAAAAAGAAGAGAAAAATTTTGAGTCTACAGAAAGAGACAATAGGAAAAAGAAAATGAGGAAAGCATAAGGAAAGAACAGGAAAAATAAAATAAAACAAAGAGAAGAAAAGAAGAAAGAAAATAAAGAAAGAAAAAAGAAAAAAAGAAAAGGAAGAAAAAAGAAGAAAGATAAAAGAAAGAAGAGTATAAGGAAGAAAAAAAGAGGGAAAATAATTCTCAAAGAAACGAAAAACAAAAGTAAAACTGGGATCGGAATATGAGAAGGAAAAAGGAAAAAATGGAAAGAAAGAAAGAAAGAAAAGCGTACGGAAGAAAAAAGGAAAAATCAAACTCAAAAAAACAAAAAACAAAACAGTGTGAGTGGAACATGAGTAGCAAAAGAAAGAAAAAGAAAATAAATAAATAAAGAAAGAAAAAGAAGATAAATAAATAAAGAAAGAAAAAGAAGATAAATAAAGAAAGAAATAAAGAAAAAAGAAACAAATAAAATAAAATAAAAGAAAGAAAGAAAGAAAAAAAGAAAAAGAAAGAAAGAAGTGTATATGAAAGAAAAAAGAAAAAATCAATCTTAAAGGAACAAAAAACAAAAAAGTAAAGCGTGAGTGAAACATGAGGAGGAAAAAGAAAGAAAAAGAAAATAAAAAAATACATAAATAAAAACGAAAGAAACAAAATAAATAAATAAAGAAAGAAAGAACGAAAGAAAAGTTGATTGATGGAGTGATTGTCTTGATTTTTATATCATCGATGTGAATTAACAGAAGGCTAATGCGTTTTTAAGCCGCCACGTCGGGTCGCGTTTAGGGCAAAAAACAGCGAAGGAAAAAGACACAGAACGATTTTGTAATCCTGTTGTCTTTGATAGTCTTTCTAATGACATCAGCGGTGATTGACAGCTAATGCATTGATAAGATTGAACCTTATCAATGTGGGCGGGACTGTACAATAATGTCCAATACTGTAATTCCTGCAAGACATGGAGGGTTCTTAGGGTTCACACTTTTCATGAATTCCACCCTTTTTTTCCTAATACTTTTCTATGTAAATGTCATGGGACAGAGAGACAGGCAAAAATGGAACGGTGTCAGTCGACATCGACAATTTCTGGAACACGATCCCGCCAAAAAACGTCAGGTTTCGTACGCTCTTCCAATCATTGCTTGGCGCGCCACACCCTCATTATCGTCAGCAATTTCAGATACGCGAAAAATTTGTCTGTTAAAACTATCATTTCTTTATCTTTTTCTTCTTTTTGTCGTCTTCCTTCAAGACATTAGCGATCATGACTCTCCACAATTTCCTGTCCTTTGTAGCTCTTATAATTTTGTCTTTTTTGTTAGTCGGGCTATGCGTTGTTTTCCTCTGTCCCCATTGACTTCAATATGTCCTATGAGTGTTTAATTTTCCAGGCCCTCTTTTCTCATTGCGTACTCTAGAAATTTCAACTGTCTCTTCTGGATGTGAAGTGTAAGCGTCTTTTTTAAATTTCCATTTTATCTGAAAGTTCGTCCTTGATCACATGTTCGGTATGGTATTCTCAGCATCCTTCTGTAGAACCTCATTTCTTTTGTTTCAAACTACTTCATTTGTGAGAAGATTGTACAGCATTCACTGCTCTATAGGAGGGATGATATTACCTAACCGTTTGCTTATAACGAGATTTTCCTGTTTCTCATTTCTTTTCTTAGTGTTTAAGAGTGTATATGGTTGTCTATGAGGATGTGTTGAAGGGAGTCGTGAAGTTCTGGATAGACAGCGTATCCAGCGAAAAAGCCGTACGTCTTTTAACAAGACCCTGCATTGTCAACCCAAACATGAATGCGTGACAATCTGCATGTTTTCCTAAATCTTAGCCTATTAGCTCAGCAGTCCTGAATCAACTAGACTCTTCGTATGTGTCGTTTTGAGAGAGGTTGCTCAATGCCTTCATAGTACTATAAAATAATTCAAGTCTGCAATAACAAGAACGTTTTTGTTAATCGGTATCACCCCATGCAAGGCAGTAAAGCCACTAAGACACAAGGTATTACAGGGTGTGGAATAATTAAGAACAGAAACATTAATAATGAACGGAAAGAGAAAAAAGTAATCAGGAGGAGAGTAAGGAGCGTTTGATATTGCATTTAAATTTTTGCAGAATAAGTTGGCTGGAAAACATGGAGACGGGCGGGAGAAGATATCTTTTTTGAAGATATCATTCGCTGTACGCCTTCGGATTCCAGTGTCGGTCCTATTTTAAAATATGTCCCCGATATTTAAGTTATTGTACTTGTTTGATTTTGTTATCCCCAATTTGTAATTTGTATGTTGGGCTCTCCCTTTTGCTGACAACCATTCATTCTGTCTTCTTACAATTGATCTTTAGTCCTTTCTTCTCGCTTTCCTTCACTTCCTTCTGTAGGAGTTCTTGGAGTTTACTTTCCGTGATTGTTATCAACACTGCAATCTGCATAACATGCTATTAAAATTGTTGCCACCAATAATCAAATCTGGTATAACTTCAAATTCTCTCAGAATTGCCTCGCTGTGTGGCTTGATTAAGTCAGGTGATACGTCACATCCTTGTCTTACATCCCCTTTCTATTTATATATATATATATATATATATATATATATTTACAGAATTCATTTACTATTCGGATGCAGGCGGTTTGCTGCTTGTATAGGTTCTGGATTATTCTAATAGTTTGCTTATCAGTCAACCTAAATATTTATGTATTTTTGGATTAAAGTGACCCCACTTATCCGCGGCTTCCATTAGAGTTTCAGCCATCAACGGTCAATCCCAGAAATGAATAATTTAAATGTTTTACTTAACAAACAGTCTTAAAATATAATTTCTTCTTTAACGTGTCCGTTTATGACAGGTAGTTCCCTTTTTTAATTAACAAACTTATCGATATTTGTGCTTGCTTATTTATCTCTTACATGATTTATCTCAAAAGAGAAACAAAATTACCTGGGTATGACGATAGACTACATCCGGCAGCAGGGCCTCAGATTGGGAGATTGGAGTTTTTGAGGAGCGTGGAACTACCTCTTCAAGCTGGAGAATTGGCGAAGGCGGAAAACTGGCGACTCATATCCAGCTGCTTCGGGTAGATGGATCTCAAAAGCTCAGGAAGGCAGTCCATCTAGGCTAAGGAAAATTTAGATCTAAAACTTCCGCTGCCTTGCGGTCATATCCAAACACGGAAATACTACAAAATTAAACTCAGGCACAAATCCTGGAGTGAAACCCCGAAGGCGGTTCGCTGTCAACTTTCCGGCAACTCCTGCAGTCAAGCTGATCCCATATGGACCTTGTCCGTCCAGTTGATGTCCATGTAGTCTGGGCAGCGCACGGCTGACATATACCATTGCCCAGGCCTGCGCTCCAGTTTCACTATTACAGGACTGAATTTTGATCAGACAGGAAACTACGTTTATCTCGCGTGATAAACATATGCTTACACGTTGGACATCAGGTCGGCTCAGCGAATGAACAAACACACTGTAATCGTTGCCTTAAATACTCAACATAGTAATACAGAGACATAGAAGAGAACATGATTAAGAACTGTGTGTACGCCATCCCATGCAGCTGGGATAAGAAATATAAAAGAGAAACAGGACGCTTCATTAAGGTGAGACTGCAAGAAGATCGTAAAGCGATAACACGAGGGGAAATAGAAAAATTAGGCGTAGCTGACCACATATAGAGGGGAAAGGGAGATCACCGCCCCCCTCTGTGGGATTAAGTTGAAATAATAGACAGAAAACATCAATGGAAAATACGAAAACGTAAGGAATCAGGACATCTCCTGAGCCGACCAAGCATAGAAATGAATACAATATGAGAACCATTAATGAGGAGTGCTAGAGAAAAGCAATGAATAACAACAAATTGCAATATAAGCTCTGGTAAAAAATATGCAATAATAATAACAGAAAAATTGCAATATGAGCACTGGTAAAATAGTTGCTGAGATCTTAGGTTTATAAGTCCCAGAATTTCATATACCGATTTACTCAAGGATACAAAGCCCAGTGGATAAAGGTGTTGGTTAGATCCAGTGACTAGATCCAAAGAATTGTGAGTTCAATACCAGGCCACAGCAGTGGTGAACCAAAAACTTGAGAGTTGAGTTAAAGGGGGATGACTGAGACATTCGGAAGAGGCTTGGCACGTGGAACTAGAACAATCTACCCGGTGGACGAAATAAAGGATTCGGTTCGAAATTTCAATCATCTTTTAGTTTTGTGTTGTTTGGTTGTTTAATCAGGATTCACCTGCATTCTATTTGTTTAGCCGACGTTAGTATAATTTTTTGGCGTTTCAAATTCAAGGAGAGACGGCGCATCCTTTCGAATCAAAACTGGTCATAGCCTTGATTTTACTAATGCGAGCCTAATTAAAAAAAAAGAACATAATTCTTTACGTCTTACTTCAAGGGATTACTAATAACAATAGTACCAAATATAAACACACGTCAAACGCATTATATTGCATAAGCAACCTTTAACGACTCCCTTCTTAATGAATATAACGTATGTTTATTTAAAACAAACAATATGTACGTAAAAACGTTCCTAAATCAACGCGTGAAAAACCACCAAAAATAATGTCTACTACTACTACTGCTCACACATACAACACACACACACACACACACACCTTTACGAACATGCATTATCATCTGAATCCCACATAGACAAACTGGAATTATTAGACACTTACATATATAAAGCAAGATTTACGTTTTTTTCAGTTAGGTTTAGAATCCGTTAATTTCTTGGAACTTCGAAAGCACGTGTCGTCTCTCCTTGAATTCGCAACGCTACGAATTATATTAACGTTGTTTTAATAAGTCGTATGCCTGTGAAACATGACGAACCAACGCAAATCAAACAACACAAAAGTAAAAATACCAGAATTTCTTTCTTTCTTTCTTTCTTTCTTTCTTTCTTTTTCTTTCTTTCTTTCTCAGCCTGTTCCCTATCTATCTATCTATCTATCTATCTATCTAACCACTATATCTCGTAAGTAACATCGCGCACGTATACGTGCACGCACGCAAACACACATACACATATATATATGATAAAATTAATATGACTGTCTCTATTCTGAGGTACGCAAAATGACATCCACTCTTCAGGAGAAGATACTAAATTTAGCATCAAGTAGCATCAACTTAGAGTGGAAATGAACAAATTTATTTCATTAATAATACTCTATCTCTTGATATAGCCACCATCACTGTAAAGCCTGCTTGTCTTAAAAACGTGATATTCAGTAATCGCTTTTTCGCTTTCCGTATATATATATATATATATATATATATATATATATATATATGGTTTGTATTTAGGTATCAAGAATTAATTTAAACAAGTTGTATTAAATTCAACTGACACGACCTGCCATCGCTACACCAATTTTGACAGCAACATAACTAAAACGGAAATTGAAATTCTGCGGAAATTTAGAATGCTATTTCCGGCTGTAAGTTAAGGCAACTACAGCGCCGCCTGACGGCGAAGGGTTTGTGTCGGAAGGTGTCATCTGAACTGTGTTATTTTTGTTATTATAAACAGGTGTTTTAACATCTTTTCTGCAAGTCACTTTCTTAGGATTTCTTTATTTCATTTCATTTTTTTTTTTGTGACTACATCCATTCAGTTCGATGGACGTTTAAGCCAGCATCGTACGGCAAACAACCCAAATATGAAGTCCGACTGACGAGGATAAGCCCAGCCGAGAGACGAAGAACAACCGCTATAGTATGCTCTTGGTGAAAGGCCTTCCGTTCTAAATAAGCTGAGAGAATTTGAACATAAAATTATTACTTTTCGTACGTATGTATATGGCATCCGTCGGTCTCGATAGACAATGGATTGCCGTCCAAAGGTTTATGCCTCAGTTGCTGATAGCGACACAGCATCTATTATGGCTGTACAGGCCCACACGGGAGTGACAGTCTCGATTACGACGAATGCATGTGAATATGCATTACCCCGATGTCGCCGTGTTGTTTTCTTTCCGTCGGACATCCTTCAACCCGGCGCCAAGCCTCCGTTTCTTCTCACATTACTCGAGATTTCGGTGTAAA